GTACCACTGCTTTCTGATGGGAATAAGCAAGAGTTAGTGCCCTCACTGGGGGTTTGCTAAATACTGCATAATCTCATAGCTCCTCTCTGCATTAAGGGGAGTTGTTCTGCTTGCGTGTTCTCCATTTTCCACTTAAGGGGGTGAGTTCCTTATTCACCTTAAATAGGAGAACTAAAAGAAAAGGTCATTAAAGAGCCAGTGATATTTCTGTCAATGCTCTTGCTGTTTTCTCCATAGCACACAGCAAACACAGTGCCTGCAGTTTGAGAGTGAGGGATGTGACTCTGCAGAGCAGCTGATTTGGACGCGATTCCCTGGCCTTTAGTGAGTGTGTCCCTGGAGATCAAACAAAAGTACGTGTGAGCACCCTGCAACTATCATGTCCTTGGCAAGCCCCAGGAGAGGGACAATCACACTGTAGCTGCACAATAAGGCAGGAAACACAGCAGAGCTCATGGTGAACTGAGATGACTTTAAGGCTCAGTGACAGAACAGCTGAAGTGAATAATGGCAGCATCACATTACCATTTAAGTAGAGGCAAGAAGATTAGCAGTCAGATCATGATTTAGTTAGCCTCAGCTGTGTCAAAGGGCTCAGAAAGTTAAAAGCAGGACAGGCAGAAGTGGTGAATTTGGCCTGTGGAAAAGGGAGCAAGCAGGATGCCCTTCAGAGGATGTGCAGTGAGTCGCTCTAAGAAGGATCATTAGGTGAGAACTGTGCCCTCACCACAGGGAAAGTGCCCAGTCTGGCAGATGCTGCAGACTAGGAAGAGAGTCATGGCTTAGCTTTTGTTCTGTGTTACTGTTACTGGTCTGTTCTGCACTGTGACTGTGTCCCTTGTGGATGGTTCCTGGGCATGATCTTCCCTTGTGTCTTCTGGAATCACCACATTTGAAGGATTTGAGCTTACTGCATCTACAAAAGGAGAGGATCCACTGAGTTTTCTCCAGCACTTCCCAGCCCTCAACAGCTGTGTATGAGCAACCAGAACAGGCTCTTTAAATTAAGCATCCTAAAGTATAGCAGTATTGCTTATAAAATAGGGGTAAAAATGTCTCCTTGCCTATTGCATGGGAAACCTAGTAGCATAGAGTCTGCACTGGGAGTACAAACTGCATGGAAATCTCTTCTGTTTAGTCAGTACTTTGGGATCAAGGCAGCAATAAATCTTTCTTAAATCCATTCTGAAGTATTTGACTTTGTGTTTAGGGAAATACTAAGTTTTTGTTGAAGTCTTGTCCACATTAGTTTAGTTCCATTTCTGCAGGGAAAGTGCTCCTACAGCAAAACAGAAGCGTGTACAGAGGAGTCTGAGTGGGAGGAATAGGTTTATCCCAAGTGTATTATGCAGTATTGCTCCTTTAAAAGGAAGAGGATTTGAGTCCCCCTTGCCACACAGGGTTGAGGTTAGAGGGTAGGTTTAAGGTTGATTTGTGGTAAATTCTGTGAATTATAGAACAAAAATGCTCATGGAAGAGTTTTTCTTATCTGTGCTGCATTTTTTTCTTTCATTTTTTTATGATTTGCTTCTTTCTCTTATTGATTATAGCCTGGAGCAGTATCACTAAGGAAAGTTTAGGCAAATAAAAGTATCAAGGTTGCGGTGTTTTATTTTATTTCCCTCCCCCCCCAGTGCTTGAATAAGCACTGTTAATATTGCCTGCTGGGAAGGGTGCTTCTCTTTTTTTATTGCAAAACTGAAAAGTTCTCCATCTATTTCATTGCCTTTCTGCTTCCTGTTCTGACTTATCAGGGTGTCCCACCATCCTTAATTACCAAGGAGACCTACTGGTTTTGAGGTTTTTTTCTATAAACTGAGGTTTTCAGCACTATTGCTGCAGTATAAGGGATAGCAATGCTGGAAGACTGTGATAAAATTGCTCTGTAGATGGAAAGAATTGATGTTAAAATACATGATATGACAAAAGTAGGTCTCTTAAAAGTCATGTGCAGAGTTTTGCCTCTGGGCTAGCAGGAAAATTCCTTTCCAGTGATTATACAGTTCTGTGCTCAGGTGGTAATTCTGTAATGAGTGAGAAAGATGGGTAAATCCTTGTTCTGTATTAAAGTTGCCTTCACCTAAAATTTTGTCTGTAGGCCTCCCAGCCACTCTGCTTGCTGTATGAATGACAAATCCCAGTATCTCACTTTATGCCCAGACATAAGACAAGAGGTTCCCTGGTGGGAAGCAGCTACTCTGCCAGCTGTTTGTCACCTGCCTACCTGTTTGTGTTTGAGCTGGTCTCTTTGCAGTCACTGGAGAGATGCAGGTGATTTAGGTACCCTATGGATCTGGCCTGACTTGCCTGTTGTTTTTTGGGATGCAAAGAGAGCCCAATTCAGGTGTAGAGATACCTGTCCTATGTGAGACAAATCACCCACAGCCCAGGCAACTCCCCAGCCCTCTTTGGGTTAGAGCAGGGAACTCAGTGTTGGTTGTGCACCTCTCTGCATTACTTTGGTGTTTAATTCAGGTGGGTACCCAAAAGTGCAGCTGCTCACCAGTGTTTCTCTCCTGTGGCAAGTGACCCAAAGAAATGCAGAAACTGGGTAAGGAGAGATCTCTATGTCTCCGAAGTGCTTTCTGATCCTTTGGTGGCTGGAGAGGCATTTGTCTTCTGGTGCTACAGGGCATCCTAAATGAGTCTGGCTGGGGATGCTCCTGCAGAAGAGGATCTGTGCAGTGAGGAGACACAGGAGCTCTGCTGCTGTCAGACTGCCTTGGTTGGGTGCTGTTCTGATAAACTCTAAAAATTACATAACACTCCTAATAACGAGCAGATTTGGTCAATGTTTTACTTGATAGGCTGTTCAGTAAAAGTGTCAGAGATTTTCATGTTGTTCTAAAATGATTTGCATGATTGAAGTGTAGTTTGCGCTCCAAAGGAGGAAAGGGCCTTCTATCCTGTAGCTAAATTGTCTTCCCAAGAAAAGAGACAAGGTCAGGGTTATATCTCCACTCCTCTTACACTTGAGGGACTTTAAGACAAGACCCTCCCCCTTTCCCAGCACATCAGAAAGATGCAGCAGCATCTTCTAAATCTCTCCTTCTGGGATCTCTTCCATTTTGTGCAAAATATTTAAACATTAAAATTTAACTAGCGAGTAAAACTGAGGCTAAGATTCATTCAGGGACTCAAATGTAGGTGTCTCATAACATGAGAGTGCCTATTAGTGCCTTTACTATTGTGGTATTAGATAACAGGGAGGAAGGGGACAGGCTCGAGGAGGGTGGTGCAGTCATCTGTGCCTGAGAATACAGCTTTTCATATCCTCTAGCTTTGATGTGCTTTTCTAATGAAAAGCAAGTTAAATCAAGCTGCTGCATTCAACAAAATAGGTAAATCATTTAGGTAAGAAGAGAGCAAAACACTTAGCTCAATCTGAGTGTTAATTTGACATATACTGGCTTGACCAGGTAGCTTTTAGTAGATGGCCAGTACAATTGTACTTATTTACTGTCCCAGAGTTGAGTCTTGCTGGGAGAAAGCCTGCCTTCAGCACTCATTGCACTAAAATCACTTTTTTTTAAGGCAGCATAGAAACCTGCTGACACTGATTTATAACTATGAAATAGTTCATAGCTTTTGTAACTATGAAATAGTACCTGACTCTCCCCCGGCTGGTGGAGGAGTTTTCTAAGCTGAAATCCTTTGCACCTGCAGCTCATCAGCATCCGAGGTCCTGCTGCCGTGGAGGATTTGTGAGTGCAGGAAAGCAGGCTGAGGGTTCCCTCCGAGGGGAGCTGTACAGCAAGACAGGGGCTCCTAATGGAAACACTTAACACACAACGTGACCGCAGTTATATAACGACTATGGCTTATTAAACAGCCTCACTGGAGGCATGAAAGGCAGGAGGCTGGGGAGATTTTGGTATGCTACGCTGGACTTTTTCCTGTCCATTGAGCCAGCAATAACTAGGTCTTATTTATTTACTTTTGGTGGGTGGTCACATAAAACCACAACCTCCTGTCACACAAGGAGGATCTCTGTCATCCCAGCGTGTGTCTGCTCACATGTAACCAGCTCACTTCCTTTCCAGCAGCAATGCCTGTGACAAATTTTAAGACTAGAATGATTACAATTGAATTTATTTTTGACCGCTTAATTTGTGTTTGATAGGTAGGATGGCAGGGAGACAGGTGGTAAAGCTGCACACCTCTGTCATGTGAAGTTTAAGTTGTTTCTGCTTTTTTTGTGCTTTCCTTTTCAGCAGGAGGGTATAAGATATTGCAGAGTTAATAGGGAAGCCCCTAGCCAGGACGTGGGTGACTCATGGTACACAGGGTCTGGGAAAGGACCCTGCTAGAGACAAATATTCTCATCTACTAGGGTGTGGGGCACTCGATTTCAAAGGGAGGACACGCAGGATTTTAAAACAGAGGTGTTTTAAGGTGCCCATAAATGCTTCATAGGTCAGTTTTGGAGGTGTCTTGTATCTGTTCCTTTTGGAATTTTGCTTCTAGAGTCCCACACAGTTGGACTCATGCAGCCTTATTTGACACTCTGTTACTCTGGGTTTAATTATACCACTATAATACCAGTGATTTAAATGGATTTTCATTGGCATAAAACTGGGACTGCATGATAGTGAATCAACCCTACAGAAAGCAGGGTAGTTGGCTTCACAGGCAGAATAAGAAACAACGGGCACATTCTTTGCAACACTGCTAGGAAATACTCTTCTGAATAAGTGGCATATCCAGAATACATAAACTGTCTAAAGACAGTTTGGTAAGTAACTTTGTGATGTACCATAATCTGTTTCTGCAGCACCAACTATGCATTACGTTTTACCTGCGCATCTGATCTCAATTTTATTTGCCGGTACATCTGTGTGTATACATGAATATTTTACATCCATACTTGAAAGGAATCACAGAAAGCTGTCTTACCTGCCAAACACTTCTACATTTACTCATGGCTTAATGGGGAAAAAGCAAGTGGGGTCTTGTGCTACTTGGTATATCTAATAATAATAATTATTATTATTTTGCAGAACCCCAGCTGAAAGGAATTGTGACAAGGTTATTCAGCCAGCAGGAATACTTCCTGCAGATGCACCCAGATGGTACAATTGATGGGACCAAGGACGAAAACAGTGACTACAGTAAGAAAAATTAGCCTGTTTTGCAATCCAATTACAATCAAATGCATCACCTAGTGGATCTCACTTGTGCAGCTTCATTTTTGAAAAGATTGAATTAGGAGGAAGACAGCTGTTTTCTGCACGTTTTTTCCTATCTATCCTTCCCCTTTAAATCTTGCCTGTATAATTTCATATGTTTCCTCTCCGATCTTCTTCCCTCCTGCCCCGAATCTGTAACTGCCATCTGGGTGGGGTGGAGAATAAAACCCATGATTTGAATTGCTGCCAGAAGAGAAAGGAGATTATATTTATACACATGCCACGTGGGTAAAGGATACGGGGAATTCTCTCTCCAAGGAGAAGAGGAGAAAATTGTTTTCACTATTTTATCCTCAAAAATTCAGCAAGCATCAGGAATTTCTGGGCTGGAGAAAAGCAGCTGTTCACTGAAGCCTTGTGCTTTGAGGCTGGTGTAAAGGCTGAGGGTATTGAATGACCTTGTGAAAGGAGGTCATCTTCCAAAACCCTGTTCAAAGGGGTTGGGTTCGTGCTGTCCAGCAAAAGCGGAGTCACACAGGTTTAAAAACTATGCTCACATCCAGGAGCCATATTGGTTTAAATACATGCAAAGCAGTAGTCAATCTTCCTTTTGCAAAAGAAGTTATTTAGTCAATACCAAAACTCCTCAAAAGGTTAAAAAAGGTGTAGAATATTTTCTGCAGCATCTCTGCATTTCATAGACATCAGATTGATGCTTCTGAGTGGGCAGTTAAGCTCAGAGCCTTGTTGCCACAAATTGCATCAACAGAGGAGGACTCAATTCTTGTGTTATTTTATCCTGTGTTGGTTTGAAGCTTCCTGTACCACTACTGAAGGATATCTAACATGGCCAGCATGGAAGGTGTCTTCCCAGTCATTGCTAGAGATGAACAAAAGTTCATCTGTGTGGTAGGATTGTTGCAAGCACACTTTATGTACTTAGTGAAAGGAGGAGCTGGCTGAATTTGGGGACAAATCTTACTCTGATTCAAAGAAGCTCCTAGTTGGATCGAAAGCAGCATTTCTCCAGTAAGACAGGGCCTGGGCTACAGGTGAGGGGTGTCTGTAGGGGTGCAACACGTGTAGCACGGCACTGACATTGTGCTTTGGATGTGCCCTTGGACAAGGGTGCAAGGTGGCTGCAAGGGGCTTCTTGCCCCATCCCCAAGAAGCTGGCAGAGTGCTGTAGCAGGACCACTGTCTGTGGTGGGACTGCCCTGCTGCAACCAGCCCAGGGCTGGGGTTCCATGCATGAGAGGGGCTTTGGGAAGATGGTGACTGAAATTGCAGATCGCTAGAAAGCCCTTGTGGAATGGCCCAAGAGGCTGCATCCAAGAGAAACTTGGCCTGTAGCATATGCAAGTGTCAGGTTTTAGACCATTTTCATATGCTGGTGTTGAACAAATTAAATACTGAGAATTGCAATGACACAACTTCTAATTTATGTGGAGGCAGGAGAATCTGTGGGCCTCCACACACACATTTACTCTGAGGAACTGAGCAGGGTCTCCTCCTACAAGAAGAGTCTGGCCTTGTGATACTCTCAGGCAGACACCAAAACATGGGGTGAATTCAGTGGGCTTTAGTGTGTGAGTAATGACCCAGTGTTGGGTTGTATTAGCTGCTTTTTCCTAAAGAAAGATGACAGGGGGTGTTTTCAAGCTGCAGAAAATCCCATTGGAGGCCTATTTGTCAAAAACATGGGAAGATATGCTAGAGATGGCAGGGATTCATTACCCTCATCTATCAGGGAGGACTGAACAACAAAGTAATGGGCTTAAATGGGGGCAGAGATGAATTTAGGTAAACAGCTGAGGAGAATAAAGTGTAAGAGCAGTTCTGCAATATTTCAGGCTGACAGGGGAGATGAGGGAAGCTGCTGCTGGCTGCATCTCAGTGGGTGCAGGGGAACCTCCTGAGTTCCCATGGCTGAGGTTGGGCCCCAATTGCCCAAACAGCACTGATTTATATATGCCACCAGAAATGTTAGAGATTAGTTTGGCAAGGTGCCGAGTACCTGAGGGCCACTTCTACCCAGTCTTCTTACTTGGAAATAGATGGACTGAAGTGCACTTTTAGAGTGTAAATTTATCTGGTGAGATGGCAGCCCTTCCTCAGCAGCTTGGTGGGACAGGAGGCATCTTGCTGAAATGTGCCAAGCCACTGGCTCAAAGTCAGGGACTGTGTTGGCAAAGTTCAGACAAGTTTTTGGGAGAAGGTCGAAGCCAAAGAATTCCCCATCCCCTGATCTCAGGGCATCTCAAAAGAGAAAAAGAATCCAACCTGATAATATTTGGCTTCTAAAACTGAAATTAAGACACTACTTTATTCAACTTTCTAAAACTTTTTGCCACATGCTCTCCTTCATAAATCTTCAGTTTGAATGAACATTTTATAATATATGAAAGTTCCAGTTACAGCTTCAAAACAAAATAATTTTTCACTTTGTAAGAGCCAAAATAAAGCAGACTGAGTTTTTTCTTTTCTGTTCCTCCAAACATCTCCATTTTTGACCAGAAGAAAGTCAAAACCTGTTTGTCTAAGCGAACATCCTACAGATCTACTTCTCTGCTCTTTTCTGTTTTAAAATACTTCTCAAGAAGATTCCTGACCAGCCAGGTAAAAGTCCGGGCAAGAGCAAAACTCATCAAAGACTAATATTTCCCTACCCCTGGAGACGGGCTGGTTAACTTGCATCCACTGGCAGAGAAGGGTGCTCTTGATGTCCACAGCACAGTCCTTTCCACCCTGGATGACCATCTATTCTACATGCAGAAGTCATCTTAGCACAGTTAAATAGCTGGTGAACACTGTGTTCCATGCATTGTTTTGTGTTCTGTATCCACACACTGATTATTTAAATTAGCATTATGAAAGGAAGTATAATTTTCATGGAATACATTAGGTTGGTTTACTCTGGCAGAATAAACGTTCAGAATGAAACACGACGTGTCCCTCAGATACGTCTGATGCAATTAAAAGTTCTATTAAAAACCCAGTTATTTATACAAGATGAACTGCTAATATTTAAGCAATTTTTAAATTAATTATCTGGTGCCCATTTTATGTGTGTTCTCGAAGCTGATGGCATTTATTTTCCACCTCCTCTCACTTAAAGGAAAAAAAAACCACAACAACTAGGAACCAGGTTCTAATGGCATTTGAATGGGCATCCAGCCAGCTTCCTCTGAACCAGCACTTGGGACATCTGTTCCTTCTACCATGCCGTTAAAGGCACGCCATCTTAGCGTGAGCAAGGAGACATTCTCTGGCTACTGGCATTGGGATATATGAAGGATTTTCTTTTAATTGGAATGCAATTTCATGGTGTGTGAATCCCCTGTTTGCATTCTTAGTAATGTCATGTGTGAACCTGAACTTAAGGCAGTACCTTTTCCTTCCAGCTCCAGTGATCTCAAATGGTCTTTCAGGGCTGACTCCCACTGTCAGTGCTTGCATTCTTTGTTGCTCTTTCCTGGGCTGAGCCCCTTCGTGAGAGAAATTGGACTTTGATTGTCGTGCTGAACATCTGAAAATCCTTGGCAAATGGACAGTGCATAAAGGATGGGTGAACTGTGCTGACCTGGTGGAAACAGACCAGCATATCTAGGTATTGCTTGGGGCTTTCCAGCCAGAAACACAAAAAGATTAAGGAGGATTCTGTTCAACCATCCTCCTTGGACCACACCTTGTATATGGCACATCTTTCCTTACTCTTCCATTTCTCTCATTAAGTTAGTCCAGACCCATAGTGAAATATGCATTCAGATTTTAGGTGATAAATTACCATAATGTAACAGTGACAACGTACTCATGGGTGTAGGACTGGAGGGTGCTAAAAGTAGTATCATCAATAACCAGGGTCAGGTGTAAATTTACTGATGGTTGAAAATGGGAAGACGTAATGAAGGAAAAGGAGCATGAATACTCAACATCTTAATTTTTCTCTCTTCTACCCATGAAGTAAAAGAGCATGTCCATTCTGTGAAGCTGCAGATGGCATACAGTATGGGCCATTGTTAATT